CACATTAAGGCAATTGTTATATGTCCTGTAGGTTCTTGTGTGGCATCTAGATGTATTGTCATTATTTATACAGCCTTGTAGAACTTCTAGGTTTTAAACTATGCTGAAACAAAAGCTGTTCGACTCTGTAGCGGAATCACCAAGAATCCAGTAACAAAACCTTTTATTTCAGATACAGAGTGATCTAGCAGAGAAAGTGTAAATGGGAGAAACCTGCTGATTGACATTGACCCAGGTTGGTACTGGATATCACCACAATGAGTGAACTATTCTTTCTACTATCTATTTCTATAGAAATATAATATATACAAAAACAGGACGAGAATTATTCATTCACAAGAGCCGTGTAGACACAGCGAGAATTCTATGTAGAGGAAAATATATTTGAGGCAGGTGCTGTGTTATACAATAAATCAGTATTTGCACGTCAGGCAATTTGGACGACAAAACACCTGTCTACGATATGCTTTTAAAATATTCAAAAAAAAAAAAACTTTTTAGAATTATAAATTTACGTTCTCAATCGAGAACTCATGAGCTTATTCTAGCGTGTATATATATTCCTTTCTTATAGTTTCTCCAATTTTTTTAACTTTGTTTGGAAGACGTTTTATGTATAGATTTGTTCATGTGTGAAATGAATGATTTCTTAAGTGTGCAGCACAAGACATGGATTATCTTATATTTTATTTCTGAAAACAAATCTTCACCTTTGTGGTTTTCCTTTGATGCCATCAAATTTAATCAACCTTCAAAAACTGTACCCTATTAATATAAACCTTTTTTTCAATGAAATTAATTGGCTCGTAAATTCTTACAAAAATATAATTCTCTCAAAATAGAGAATATTTGATTGGGAGCTCTATCTCCTCTTCAGGGCGTACAAGGTAAGGAGACACGAATCATAAACTATATGGAAACAAGGAGTCAAGTTCTTCTTGAGAGCTCTTTGACAAAATGGAATATTATTGTTTATTGTCAAATCGAATGACTTTATATACAACCCTTGGTCGAGTAATTCCTTCACAGCCTTGTAGATGTTGTTGTCATGTCCAATAAAGAGATGTCTCTGTAAATCTCTATCACAGCATTCACAATGTTCTCTATCTTGAATGTAGAAAGCTGAAGTTCTTGGTCCATGTCAATTTTCTGCAAGTCAGCGGCCATAAATGGCCAATAATATAAATCCCTATTCGTTTTGAAAATTATTTCTGTATCTTTATTCAATTTGTTACTAGAATTCTGTAGTACACTAAAGAGAGAGTTGTGTAATAAATAGGAATGTTCAAGGTCAATTGTTGTCTTAGAATCGTCATCACACTAAATATGACACAAGGACGAACTGAAAATTTGAATTAAATATTAATTATTACTGAATAATCTCTCAAAGAAACATCCTCAATTTATAAAGTAGAGTTTTGATCAAACAGCCATTAACAATCCTTGTTGATGAAAAAGATTTTTCCTTAAATCAGAAAGAATATAAATTCCCGGTTTTTTATTATAAAGTAGTCTCAGTTCCTTGATATGGTTCCTATGGCCGTAACGACTATGTCATTCGAGGATCCATCGTTTTCCAATGTAGAAAGTAATAAATTCGTCCTCTAGACCAGGGATCGGTAACCTGTGGCTCATGAGCCACAAACGGCTCTTTGGATATGAGAGAGAGAGAGAATATTTACAATGATTTATGAGTGTGGAAGGCTCCACCATCTCGCTAGGGTCCTCCTCCAGACCAGGAGAGGGTCCTCTTGGACCCCCCGCCACTCCAGGACCAGGAAGTATTTGTAGATGCGGGTCTTGGCAGATGCCATGATAGCCAAGGCGTTGTCCTCCAGGTCATGCCCGAAGATCCAGATCTGCAGGTCAGGGGGCCGCTGGATGATGGTGAAGGCCTCGACGATGAGAGAGAGAGAGATTGAGATTGAAACTGATTTATTACAATGTCCATATAAGATTATATAAGGTTAAATACAGAATTAATATAAATATGAATAAATAAGATTATATAATGATAAATATATAGATAAATAGATAAAAAATATATAAAATAATTGATAAATATACATATATATATATAAAATATACACAAGAGAGAGAGAGAGAGATTCATAACCCAGGTTCCTGGAGCACAGAACGCCAACTAACCGGATAGTCCAGCTTACTAGTATGGACTAGTGTTGAGCGCTTTTACTCGCGTCCTGTTTTGAACCAAAGATATGAAGCTACATGTAGTACTCGCATAAACGAATACTATTTATTGTTGGCAAGAAAAAATAATTGTGGCTTTTCAAAAACTTTGGAATTTGTAAATTGTAATTTTTGACTCTTTCGACTAAACGGCCACTGTTAATTTCTTACTCAAATGTCTTAGATGGTGACATGTCTTCAGTGCATTCTAATCTTCACTCCAGATAGTACTATAACCCAGATATATAACCTGCGTATTTAGGTATTCAGTTTATTGAGTAATAAATGGCTGAATCCATATATAAGGTTGCTATTAGAATACCATTTTGTTGAAAACTTAATCCATGTTATATATTCTGATAGTTATGACAAGAGTAGTGGTTTTCTGGAAAGGTTACTCAATGATAGGAATTGAAAAAGGAATGTGGAAGTAGAATTGTGAGAGAGGTCAGGAAATAGAAAATGTGCTCCAAGAATTCACATGTGTAGAAAAAGGCCGTGAACTCAAAAATAGTAATCGACTTCTGAATCTCCAACTTTTTGCTCCCAAAGTCCGCCACAAAAACTTCCCGTCTCGATTAATTTCAATTTTCAGTCCCCACGGGGGCCAAGGGAAAAAAAATCCACCGCTGATAGGCCACCGAATTAGCTGGGGCAAACAATTAATTAACATTAGATAATACTAATTGGGGAGTTAAGGTGATTAACTGATTAATTTGAAATTTAATTCTGCCTTGTGGGCCATTGCTTTGTAGAGCCTCAATTTGTAACCTCGCCAAGACCTAGAATTTCGGATTGCCTGCTCCCCTGCAGCATTCATTGTTAGTTGATGGCCGTTATATTTCTAAATGCGACTGGTTGGTTCATGAAGAGCTAATGTGACTTTATACATTGAAGTAGCTGAATATACACAAAACATGAAATATCCTCACAGAAATGTTCTATTGATACACCTTCCATTCGGATCGTGAACCCAGTTTCAATTATTATTAATAAAGCTATCTACAATGGCTTTGGTAATTATATTCTTATTCCTATTTGAAATTTAAAAATTACCACCTGAAATTTCTACCTTCCTAATAATACACTCATAGACAAAACTTAAGAAAGTGTCTTTGATGTCGCCAGTCATCTGTTTTATTATTTTTCATGGAGACAGGGGAAATTTTGTTCATACTTTGTAATCCTGTGTGTCTTCAAAAAGGTCACTGCATCAAATATCTTTCAGAATTATTGTCTGAATCCTGATATACATGATAAAAGGTACAGCTTTCTTAAGTTTTATTCACCTCATAGGAATAAACTAACAAAATCATTATAAATTGGTAAGAACTTTTTTAAATAAGATAATTATGATATTTTCAGTGATTTACTAATATTTTCCAATAGAAAGATATAGATTATTTTTATTATAGGATAAATTAAAGGAATAAAATATACAGATATATACATAATATATAAAATAATATACATATACTGTATCTCCTTTGCACATACGAGTACTTTTTTTTTTTAATGTCAAATCATACTAAAATAGTGATTTCAAATTAAATATTGGATGCTAGATCTCTCTATGTTAGAGACATCCAAAGAATATATTTAAACGCCATTATATCCTTTTAGCATATACGGATTGGTTAACCGATTTAAAAGGTAAAATTGAGATTGATTTATAAAGAGAAGAGAGGATTGCAATATTAAGAAGAATTCTATTTGCATATTTGGAAATTTTGGAAGGTTCTGCCTTACATGTTGAATGAACCGATATATTCTAAATACCCTGAAGATATTTAAACCCAATTTATCTATAATTGTTTGCCTTTAAGGAATGGTAAAATAAATAATGAACTGGTTTACTCTGTTTAAAATACGAAACTATTATAGACGCGTATGATTATTTTCAAAATAAAACAATTTCTACTGCCCTTACTGGAATGAAAAAATTAATGGGAGGGCCTGGCTCATCAGTGGTGAACCCTGATAAAACTGGTGAAACCGCTGGGAGGGTTCACCACTAATGAGCCAGGCCCTCCCATTGATTTTTCCATTGCAGTAAGGGCAGTAGAAATTGCTTTATTTTAAAAATAATCATACGCGTCTATAATAGTTTTGTATTTTGATAACAGATTGCGCGCTAGTGCATCTATTTGAAATATTGAGGTATATATTCTCTGTATTTATTTTACTTGATGCTTTCTATAGCGGTGGCAGAGGCGCCTTATAATAGCCAAATTCATTGTATATCTATATATATATATATAAATAAATGTTAGTATGTTTGTTTGTTTGTATGTCCGGTATACAAATTCGCAGTAGTTCACTAATTCAAACCAAAATTTCCATACATAGGTAAAAAAATACGCGGAAGACGATAGGCTATATTAAAAAATATATATAAATCAATTATTAAAACTATATATTCAAATTATTCTACTTACCTCACGAACAGCGCCTTCTATCAAAGATTAGATTAAATTATGGTGATGCAAACAAATAGATAATGCTAATAACAAACAATTATAAAAAAAAATCTTATCTAAATATATATCACTCGGGTAGATATGCACACGGGTCAATCCCGGGGCGAAGCCCGGGTCACCGGTCTAGTAGTTGTATAAATACCTGATACTTGTTAATTTGAAACAATAGTGCAGTTTGTGCACTTTTGCATGTATTGATAAGATGTCAACAAAATGATGTTATTTCTTAATTGTCTAGGGCAGAGATTGGCAATCTGCGGCTCGCGAGCCATTACGGTTATTTGATGGTGAAACTGCGTGTAGTACTCGCATGAACTCTACATTCTGCAAACGGCCATACCACATTGAAAACACCGATTCTCGTCCGATCACCGAAATTAAGCAATTTCGGGCCCGGCCAGTAATTGTGGAAGGGTACTCACATAAATAAAAACTTTATGCGAGTAAACTTTATTGTTGGCAAGAATACTTTTTGTGGCTCTTTAAAAACTTTGAAATATTGTGAATTGCAATTTATTACTCTTTCGACTCAAAAAGTTTGCCGACGCCTGGTCTAGGAGTCCCCTTAATAGATATTTATAGACTTTTCACAAGTCAGAAGGCAGTATATAACACTATACAGTACAATCCGCAGGTTAGCTATGTAGCTAGAATATATCAAAATGTTCTATTCGTGACTTCTACAAGTTTCACAAAGTTGTAATATACACTTGATTGCAAATATAATGTTTTACAAGTGTTGTTGTTGTTGCTTATTCCTCAAATCGTTTAAACGATCTCCATTAGGTTCAATTGTCTCAGCTTTTCTATTATATTCCTGGGGTTTTCCTAGAGGTCGTTTTTGGAGGATTTGATACAATTTAAAAGATGTTCAGGACTGGCTGGTATGTTTTACAAGTAGGATAAACACATTTCTTTATTGTATTTTTACATAAGTAATCTATCCATATACCCGATTACTTCTAATTCAGCATATTTCTAATAGAATTTCAAAGAATCTTTGTATTTATTTTTCAAAATCTGATAAAATATTTTCAATTCTATGCCAAACTTTAATTAACAGTTTCAACGCTATTTAAATAATTATTCTGATCATTTTAAGACTGAGAATAATTTATTCTAAGAACATTGTGCGAAGCATATTGGTTCTCAATAATTAAAAGATGAATATCACGCCGGAAAATATAGAATATTATCAGATGTTGAAAAAGATGAACAAGAAACTTAACCCTGGAAGCTTCATTTATATTTATTATATTGTCTCTGTATTAACACTTTAGCCATCCTGTCTCTCTATATAGAAAATACAGTGATCTGTCTATGATAGTATTGGGAGATAGTAAAGGCCCAAGCTAGACAGAAACTTCCCCAACTTACCGAGCTATTTCTGGCAATTTACTTTAACCATTTTCTTCTAAATGGTACGAATTTATTTTTCTGGGAATGAAAAAAAAATTCAGCTCTTTTATATCTTTTTATTTTTCCCTTTCTCCAAATCTCTATTTCTAAATTTAATTAAGGCCAAATATTTCCTGTAAGATATAAGTAGAGAAATAAACTTCCTATTCTAGAGAGCTATGTAGTATTTATATATATGTTTTTCTTTTATTTTTGGAATATCACACACAATAATATATACATATTATATCATCTGATTTTCACCAAGTATATTCATGAAAAAATTGTGAAAAAGTATTAAAATTACTATTATATTCTCACAATGAGTATCTTTTTTATTTAAAAAACGCTAGCTTTCAAGCGTTATTCGCTCTTCAACGATATAAATATCCACGCGGCGCGCGTTTGTTTTTTCTAAATATTTCTGGTGGGATCAGGTCGATATTTTTGTAAGCCCGTTGAAGAGCGAATAACGCTTGAAAGCTAGCGTTTTTTTAGATAAAAAAAGATACTCATTGTGAGAATATATTTGTAATTTCACCAAGTATAGTTAACGAAAGATAAATATTCAAAAGAGCGTTTTATCCAATATTTATATACTGATGTAATATAATATTAAAGTAAAACTGATAAAAAATGTTTGAATTGTTTTTACGAATTTGATTGAATCTTTTTGTCGAGAGAGAGAGTAAATTGACAATGAAAAAGGTTTAATGACTCCAATTCAACAGTTAAAAAAATCATATAAACAAAATATAACAAAAATAAAAAAAATAGATAATATCTAATTATTAGTATCAGACGAATACCACTGGGTTACGTCTCGTTCAATGTCGCATTCTGTCCTGAAGTCGGACAGCCTCTTGCCTAGGTCGGAGTCCTTGTTCCCGACATGGGCGATTGCCATGTTAAGGAATTTCTTTAGAGCAGAGCTCTGGTCGGGCGATATAAACGTGAGGACGTCCTCCCTCTTAGTTAGGGATACAACAGCCAACTCTATTTCGAGAGAAATTGAGATTGAAACTGATTTATTAGAATGTCCATATAATAGAGAGAGATTATATGAGGTTAAATACAGAATAAACATGAATAAATAATATTATATAATGATAAATACATGAATAAATAGATATAGATATATAAAGTAATTGATAAATATACATATATATAAATATATACAAGGTCGTCATTGGTGGCGCCCACCGCGGGAAGGAGAGAGAGAGAGAGATTGAAACTACTTATATTTTATCGTTCATATAAGATATAAGGCTAAATACAAATATTGAATAAATATAAATAAGATTATATGGATAATTAGAGGTAAATATATAAAATAAATATAAATGAGATTATATGGTAAATATATGAATAATTAGAGGTAAATATATAAAATAAATATAAATGAGATTATATGGTAAATATATGAATAATTAGAGGTAAATATATAAAATAAATATAAATAAGATTATATGGATAATTAGAGGTAAATATATAAAATAAATATAAATGAGATTATATGGTAAATATATGAATAATTAGAGGTAAATATATAGAATAAATATATAAATATACATACATATAGAAAGTCTACATAAGAGCTCTGGTAAAACCCCAGGAGTATAATAGAAAAGCTGAGACAATAGGACCTAATGGAGATCGTTTAAATGACTTGAGGAATAAGCAACAACTACATGGTCTTCATTGGTAGCCCACCGCGAGAAAGACTCCGCCACCGGTGGACTGAAAGAGTTCTTTCCCACTGAGAGAGAGATAGCTTATAATGCCATTTAATCTCAAAGAACTTCTCCCTTATTTATCCCAAATACACATGGCTATAATAATAATGGTAACGATTGCTTCGACTCGAAATCCATTACCTGTCAATACGTCTGGAAAGAAGTTTATATTTTGCATTTATAAGCTTGAAGAGCTTTGATTTGTTACATGCATGCGTTGATATGGTTGGACTTGTGTAAGTGAGGGCTATTTAAGCAATTTAGGGTTTTAAAAAAACATTGAAAAATATGGTGAATCGATCTTTCGGATCTCTGGATGTCGAGAGTGTGTACTTCCATCCCAACTGAAAAGAGTTTGTCTTCACAGTACCAAGACATATTGTGAACGGGCTAGTGCAGCTCTTAGTCTATGGATTGACTTCCCACATTGCCTGTAGTCGCTCAGTTTGTGCTGCTGAGCAGAAATGGCAGCGAAGCTCGCTCTCTACTGCAGTCTAATTAATTGACCTTCCCGTAGTCGCTCAGTTGGTGCTGCTAAGCAGAAATGGCAGCGAAGCCAATTCTCTACTGCAGTCTATGGATTGACCTTCCCGTTGTCGCTCAGTTGGTGTTGCTGAGCAGAAATGGCAGCGAAGCTCGCTCTCTACTGCAGTCTATGGATTGACCTCGCTGTAGTCGCTCAGTTTGTGCTGCTGAGCAGAAATGGCAGCGAAGCTTGCTCTCTACTGCAGTCTATGGATTGACCTTCATGCAGTCGCTCAGTTTGTGCTGCTGAGCAGAAATGGCAGCGAAGCTTGCTCTCTACTGCAGTCTATGGATTGACCTTTCTGTAGTCGCTCAGTTTGTGCTGCTGAGCAGAAATGGCAGCGAAGCTTGCTCTCTACTGCAGTCTATGGATTGACCTTCATGCAGTCGCTCAGTTTATGCTGCTGAGCAGAAATGGCAGCGAAGCTTGCTCTCTACTGCAGTCTATGTATTGACCTTTCTGTAGTCGCTCAGTTGGTGCTGCTGAGCAGAAATGGCAGCGAAGCTTGCTCTCTACTGCAGTCTATGGATTGACCTTCATGCAGTCGCTCAGTTTGTGCTGCTGAGCAGAAATGGCAGCGAAGCTTGCTCTCTACTGCAGTCTATGTATTGACCTTTCTGTAGTCGCTCAGTTGGTGCTGCTGAGCAGAAATGGCAGCGAAGCTTGCTCTCTACTGCAGTCTATGGATTGACCTTTCTGTAGTCGCTCAGTTGGTGCTGCTGAGCAGAAATGGCAGCGAAGCTCGCTCTCTACTGCAGTCTATAGATTGACCTCCCTGTAGTCACCGAATTGGTGCTGCTGAGCAGAAATGGCAGCGAAGCTCGCTGACAAAGAGAAATCAATGGCCGAGCCATCGAGAGGGTCCAATTAAACAGAACATTTCAATGGATCCTTTTGAAGCGGCGGAGCACGGCTAATTAGCATGTAACTGCTCTTCACCTCCTAGCTGTCGGTTTTTGTACAAGTCCCGCGATGTCTGGAGGAGTCCATCTCAACACGGCCGATACCTTTTCTCAGACTTTCCTAATGAGAGACTTTTATCTACTCATTAATGGAACGACATCAATTAGAAATAGAAGCACATCAACCTTCAAAACCCATCTCTAATTGAGCCAGCCTTAAATAAAGAGATTTGCTTCAACTAAGAGAGACCCCCGTCTGTCTATAAATTGTAGTGATTATAAATATGTGATTTTGGGCTACAAACCTAACAATGGAAAAGCGCTCTAATTTTTATAAATAAAAGTACCATATATCTTAGTTCTTATTTATTTTACAGATTTCTAATAATTTAATTAAAATATTAATAAATCAATCATTACTAAACATGATTATTGATCAAAGAAGTAGATGTAGCCTATCAAATAGAGGGAACACTCGGCCTTGATTCTTTTTCTACAGAATATTTTATAATTTAAGATCTAAATATTAAGAGCAATCATTACAAAACATGACCAGAAGTAGATGTACCAGGTCTATTAGTATGAAACGCGAAAATTTTCAGTAAATTCAAAAGTTCACCAATTCCATACAACAAAAGATTTTTTATTCAAAGTAACTGCCCTGATTAGCTATACACTCGGACCACCTTTCAGGCAATTTTCGAATTCCTTGTCTGAAAATATCTATTCCTTTTGAGTCGAACCAGTCAACAAGTCATTTTCGGAGTATGTCTGAGTTCGAAAATTCCTGGTTTTTTAGGGCGTGTCCTAAAGATGTGAAAAGGTGATAGTCCGACGGCGCTAAGTGTGGTGAGTACGGCGGGTGGGGTTAGAGTTCCCAGCCCAAGTCTTTTATGGTGTT